TATGACATTTGAGTGTACACACTATCTCTTATAGAGCATACTTGTAAGTACTCCTATTTTTATACAGTTCGTGCATTAGAAAGTACACTTTGCTCTTATACTGAACCAAAGAACAACATTTGCCCTTCAAATACCAAAGTAATAAGTACTTAATGCCTAGATTTCTAGTACCAATAGTGATAACTGCAGGCAGCACCGTTGTCCAGCCAAACAAGACATTGGCATGACTGTTTCGTAATTAGAGCCCGATTCATAACGCATGTTAACAGACTACAGTAAATGAATAATCCAAATGGGAAGGACTGAGAGAAGGTGGACAAGGTAAAATGAAGCAAGAGCAGCGGGCTCACCAAGGCTTGCGTTGTTGCGCTCGAGAAACTCGACTGTGCTCACCACCGCCTTTAAAACACAAACATAAATCTATCAATGTACTATCAAAAATCTAGTGAGCAAAAATACACCTGAATACCTTTTTATTGATTTTTCATCACTAAAGAAACAAACATCCTCAGGACACAAGGCTCACTTATTTAGAATTCTGCGAATGGATTGAATGAAGGCTCGGTTGCAACAACGCAATATGCTGGATTTTGGTTGCAGATGCTTCCTGAGTTAATATTATTTGTTGAAATAGGTAGCTAGGTAGCTGTCAAAATAAGATCGTTGAGCGAGCACCAAAACCCAATCCCAACTGAGAGAAAGGGAGTTCAGTTTTTTTATGAACTAGCCGTGGCAAGAAACGGAACAGAAATTGGTTAAGCCGTTACTTTGTTGCAGAACATCGAAGGGACAATATGAATATATTCTATTTTTTAGACACCATTTGGTCACAAATAATCTGAAGCACAATGAATATAAACTGCAACTTTTCCTAGAAATTATTTATGTATGAAATCTGTATAGTTTCTAATTGAACAATGCAAATGAATACATAAGTACTTGATTAATTGTAGCAGCTGAGGACAAGCATATCACACATATTTTATCGAATAGATTGTTAGCGCTGAGGTTTTCACAAATGAAGTCGACTTACCTTCATGGAGATCCCGCTCGGATGGTTCTACTTGGCTACTTTGTGTCTCATGCTTCTTCATCAGTGTGCTGTATACAAATGCAATGCGAGCATGCAGCTGGCTCCCCATTTACATGAACCATGAAGCTGCTTATAACGAAAGGCTTGTCATCGGCGTGTGTTGCTATACAGCAGAAAAGAGCTGAAAAAAAAATCAAGGAATAGCCCTACTTCCTTCGTCTGGGTGCTATTATCAGTAAAGGCTAAAAACTCAAATATTCAACATCTTGTTCGTACAGCTCTCTGGGTGGCTTCTAAAGCAAGTAGAAATTCCTATGGCAAAAGGAAGGAGTCCATGCCTCCATGGAGGCTGATAACCTAGATCAGAGAAAGTAATACCTGAGCGACCTCCGCGAGGGCACCGGCGACACGGACCTCACCCTGGCCATGCCAGCGGACCCTGGCTCCACAGGATTTCGGCTCCATCGCACACTACCAGTACCGTGACCCGAGGCGGCGGCGGAGTACCTGAGGGTCTACGCGAGGTCAAGGATGCCGAGTTCCTACATCCTGCTCCATGTTCTCCTAGATCCTCGCGGCCCACTCGTGCTCGTAGTCCCCAATCACCTCCGCCTCGGCCGCCGCCAGCGGGGACGCCGGGCTGCCCGACGACTGGTCGGGGGCAGGGTTCTTTAGCGGCCGGCCCCGCCGTCTTGGGGTCAGAGCAGCACGTGCAGGCGGCGTGCACGCGGTAGCGGCAGCCGGCAGGATCGGAACCACACGTCCTCAAGGCGGCACGGAGCAGCACGGGCAAGAGGCGTGCCACGAGGTCCTCTAGTCCCTCCCACGACAGCCGACAGTGGATGGATCGACTGGTGAGGAAGATGAAGGACGTCAAAGGCGAGGGCGATGATGGCGAGGACCGCCCGCGACGGTGATGACGGCGACGACGAGGCGACGGCTGAGGACGACGACAGCCGCACATGGAGAGCAATTGTCTGTCTGTGGTCGAATCTCGGGGCGCGAGCTAGATGGCGATTCCTTTTCTCACGGATGAATCACGGGGAGCGACGCGGATGGTGGCAGACGAATCGTGGGGGAGCGACGCGGACGGCGATTTCCTTTTATATCACGCGGGGGAAGCACGGTGAAAGCAGGCGGGGATCGCAGGGGCAGACCGACGACCCGAAGCGATGATTGTGGCACCAAAAAAATGTCCATCTTTTACTCTTTTTAGTCTAGGGAATTGATTTTTGCCTTCCTGATTTGTTGTGGCTGTTACGAGGATTGAGCTGATCGCATGGAGCGAGTGCGCGTTGCCTTCCTGATCTGATCGCATGGAGCGGCTTTGGTGTCGCACCTGTGGACGGAATAGTTACGAATGTTTTAGTTGTATATAGAGAAATACTCAATTCGCCACAAAATAAATATACATCTTGTACTTCGAGAAGTCATGAACCTATCTAATATTATTTGTTTATATCATATTAGTATAATTAGATCAATCATGCTATATATTTTTATAATAAACCTATTTAAAAATATAAATGTTGAAATTAGAATTAGTTGATTTCTCGAAATATAAGATGTTCACTTATTTTGAGATGGAGAGAGTAAGCATATTAAATTTTTTCTTTAAATATATATTTTTAGGGAAATATAAATTTTCATTACTCATACGAGGCTGAATCGTCAACAATAGTATGTCTATTTGGAATCATGAATGTTAATACTCCCTCCATGTTTCTAAAGAAAGTCGTTTTGAGGTTATCTTAAGTCAATTATTTTAAACTTTGACTATGAATAAATTCTTTTAGGTTGAGTTTGAAAATATGAAAGTGATAAAAATAGATTCATCTCGGTTTAAAAATATAAAAATATTTTATAGCAAAAAATAGTGGTCAAAGTTGTTTTTGAGAGTGTGTCAATTTCTAAACCGACTTTCTTTGGGGACATCGAGGGAGTAGCATTTTTCTGTAAATTTAGATAAACTCAAGACACCTTTTTCCAGACAACACATGACATCTTTTCCACACGATATGATAGAAGATCCCTCCTTAGGTCCTGGTGCATGTCTTATCCTGAATTGTCATTTGCCTTGAGCCCTTGACTCTTCAACTCGTGGCCATGCCCATGTATCCTCATGCATGTGTGCGGCTGATGGGTAGTGTGGCGCACTGACACTGACACCGCACATCCTTCAGATGTCGAAGCGAGCCTGCCCGCGATCGAGCGAGACGGCGTGATATCCAGGGACTAGTGCCCATCACGGCCGGCATGCGCCGACGCCACGGCATGGCAGCCGCGGTCAGCACCATGAACCCTGTTGAAATGCAAGCGACCTCAGGTGCTCAGGTGTTCCGTCCAATCCCCCCTCCCACGCGGCCGCTGCGTCGGGCAGCCGGCATGTAGCACCTGCCGCGTCGCGGTCCTCTTCTCTCGGCGCCGCAAACGGGCAGCGGCCCAGCGGTGGTGCTGCCGTGCCATCTCCCTCTCCATGTTTTCTGCAGGACTCAGGGACCCGAGCTCTGCTGCACCAAAGGCTGCTCCGTGTGTGTTTTCTGAATGCTGAGAGTGACGCCGCCTTCAGTTTGATTCCTTCTTACCTTGAATCATTGCTCCTGCAGTCATGCTATCTATCATGCTACTCCTCCCTCGTAAAAAAGAGCGCAGCTTTAGGTTCAGTTAAATTTTCTTTAAGTTTTACTAAGTTTTTGAAAAAACTCATACCAACATTTACGTCTACAAAATGTATTTCATGATCAATCTAATGACACTTTTCCGATATCCAAAATATAATTAGCTTTTGTATATATAGATCTAGTCAAACTCGAGATTGATTTACTTAGAAAAAACTCGAATTGTACTTCATCTATCCCCAAAAAGAATAATTGTATTTCATCTATCCCAAAAAGAATAATCCTGGGTTAGTTCACTGACTATCTGAATTTGGCCACTTGTGCAGGCCAAACAACTGACTATCTGAAGCTCTGAACACAATGTCTCTCCATCGGTTGGGTGTGTACACCAGCGACCAAATTCGTCCACGATCCAATCCATAGCCAGTTCGCGCCTTTGCAGTAACCTATCTAAGTCTACGCGCCCCTGATGCAAACTGCAAAGAAGAGGAGACAGACAGGACATTCGACAATCGATGCAGGAGACTCGCCGATTTGTTGCTCCTTTTAGGACGAGACGGTGGGGCAGCCGCAGCCAGGGGTTCATAGGCTCTCAAAGATAAAAGCCTGGCTGGATTGCAGCCCTTGTGAAGTTTGTGTGATCTTGCTGCGGACCTAGGATTTCCCGGGGACATATGCAGTCGAGGTTGAGAGGGACAGGGAGGAATCATGCATGATGTGTTTGTGGGGGCATAGCTGAAGCATCCCTTGTGCTCCTGTCTCCTACTCTGGTGCCATCATCTCTGTTCCTCCCTCTTCTTGAGAGGAAGTGAGAATATTACTCGTGAGGGATTATTTTTCAGCTGTTTTTTTTTCTTCTTTTGTTCATTTTTTTGGTTTGTGATCAACTGAGCATACGATACGCAGCCTCTGAACTCTGTCAATTCCTGTGCTGTGTAGACAGATATTCCGGTTTATGTTGTCTAACTCATTTCATTTCAAGTATGCTAAAAGAAACTCATTTCAAGTACAAGAATACCTCCAATAAAAATGAAAATACATGAGACATGTGTAAAGCGACCTGGGCCCGCATACTCCATATATGGGCCAACTTGGACCCGGTAGCACGTACACTGGGCCGTCCGTAAGAACTGGGTGGACGTTCCACTCGACTTGGCCCCCATGCTGCTAGTAAATGAAAAAAAAAAAACTCGACCTCCTGCAGGCGGCGAAATCCTCCACGCCCGTGCCCGTTGCTCCTATTTGAAAATTTCCCCTTCTCGAGAGCTTGGGGATTCTCTCCTCCCCAAATCTGCCCCCCGCATCCACTCGCCAGATCCTCCTGCTCGCGGCGCAGCGGAGCCGACGCGATGCCGCCGAAGAGGAAACGGCGAGCGCCCCCCGCCAAGTCGCAGAGGCAGACGGAGCCGGACCCGCAGGTGCCTCCTGGCGCCGACGCGCCGCTGGAGGAGCGGCTGATCTGGGTCAGCCAACAAGAAAGTACGGCACCCTACCCCCCTCTCTATCCCTCCCCATCTCTGCTAAGGAGTGCGCTAGATTTCAGCTCTTGGTTGATGCATCATGCCAGCATAGTAGTCTCTGTTAGTTGGGGCAAGATTTCGGTGTGGAAAGGATCTCGGTGCTCTGAAGTGGAGTGTTTTGTACCAGCTCTACCAGTTGGTTAACCGGAATGGGTGGCTTAGTTGGCCCTATTTATCAGGAACTCTTATTGGCAGCAACAAGCAAAAGCTGGTTGAGCTAGCTACTCTAGCTCCTAGACTGAAGAATCATTTCAACCTGACAAAAATTAAGTGAAACAGCTTGATGGTGGTAGGTCAAACAGCTTAGGGTCTGTTTGGAATGCAGGAATTTCACAGGAATAAGTTCAATTTTAGAGCAAAAATACAGGAACACGGAAAAAAATCATGCGTTCCAAATAGGGTCTTAAAGTAGTTCTGCTTTTGCAGATTTAGAAGAGCAGCGTCGAATTATGTTTCCCTGAATCCTGTTCAGGCGCTAATGTTGAAGGCCAACTGTTTTCTTTCTGCATCAGCAATGCATGGCATAAGTGCACTGTTTACATATTCTCATGCAACGAGTATCATTCAAAATTGCTAATCCAGAGTTCCAATAAACAGGCGAGCGTCGGATTACTGCCATCAAAGCGACACAAGATGCAGAGGCTGGGAACATACCTTACCAGTTGCAATTGGTACGGTCATATTGTTCCAAGGAGCAATTGGAGGGAAATGCTATGCAATATTTTCAGGAGAACTTGCCTGATCTTTCGGTTGTTCCGAATGAGGAGTATGATGTGCTTGAGCTGAAATGGAATAACGGCGACGAATGGATGATTGGAGACTTTGCAGATGACAGGACTCTGCGAGCTTCGATTGCATCATTCGCAACTGCTGATGGACTTCAGTTTCCAAAGGATTCAGGTTTGACCAAGTCATCTACCTACTAATGGTTTATTTACTTCATTGTAGCCAGCTAACGTCAGACTGCATAAATGATATTTTGCTACCGCATATTCAGTTGGGGAAGACTTCTATAGGCGCACTAGCAATTTCAGTGATTTTGTAAGTATTTTCGCCTGCAGCGACACCATATGTTTGTGCTCTGGACTTCACTACTCTTATGAGTGCATGTTGCTTTGAAGGCTTGGAGTGAACAGCCTGAAGGCCAAATGGCAGGAGCAGCAGAAGCTTTTCAGACACCTGGGGTATGCATTTTTCTTCTTTCCAGTATATACATTTGGTAAAAAATTGTATTGCATTGTATTTCTATAGTGAAGGGCGGGCCTGGTGCAAGCGGTAGAGTCTTACCGCCTGTGACCGGAAGGTCCCGGGTTCGAGTCGCGGTCTCCTCGCATTGCACAGGCGTTGGGTAAGGCTTGCCACTGACACCCTTCCCCAGACCCCGCACAGAGCGGGAGCTCTCTGCACTGGGTACGCCCTTTTATTGTATTTCTATAGTATCATGTTTCCCAAGTAAATGCTTGTTCCTGGATTGCGTATAAGCATACTCCTTCAACAGGCTGTGAGTAACCGGCTATCCTGCGGCATGACACCCAAAACCGTAAGGTTACCCAAGAATGGCGAGATGCTCTTATCTGTGCGTGGTTCACCTCTTGGGGTCTATAAAGAAGAAAATTTATCAGCCATTGAAGGTATTGACCTTGTTCTCTTGCTAGTTTTCCACTTTTCCTGGCAGAAGCCTCATTAGGTGTTTTCCTGTTAAGTAACCATTTTTCTTTTCCAGAATCTGGTAATGGAAATGAAGATGCTCCCTGCTAACTCACTAGATATCACCAGTAAGATTCGTGTGACCGATTCAATACTACAATTATAATTACACAACTATCATGACATTGATCATTATTTACATTGCAGGATGTTGCCAGCCTTTGACAATAACTGTAAGCGTTTCTAGAGCCTATGTGAGGTTCATAGACTGACTGGGAAAAAAATCTGATTTGTTCAGTGATTGGCACCTCGCTTCTCAATGTACCTTGAAATTAGTGTATTTAGGTCACTCTGTAATCTGATGAACCCTGTTGTAGCACGACGACTGTTATTCAGCTGACATTGTGCTTTCAGCAGTGTTAGCTTTGCTTCCAGGAGGTCGGCAAAATCAATCGAAGGGCTCCGTGCCATTTCAGCCAGACGTGTTTATACGTTTTATTTATGAACAGAGCCAAAGTTATCCAGTCATGTACCGCCTTGTGTGCAACTTAACTCCATTTTCCTTTCAAAAAAATTTCACTCCATTCTTTCACTACCCAACCCTCGTTCCAAGCATTGCAGAAATAGATCACTAGAGCAAGTCCATTTTTGACATATATTGACTCTTCGATTTGCCTAATTTCTGCCCTTATCTTTACCTGTAAACATGGCAGCTCAACTATCAAATATTGTTCATTTTTTATCCTAAACCTATGTTTTGTGTTTTTTTCCTTACAACAAATTGCTGTTTTTATTTACCACACATTATGAAAGTCAGACATGCTTTTCATGTTCTCTCTTCTCTCTTTCCTTGCCCGCTAGCAATGGATAGCGGGCAGAAAAGTAAATTTCTAATGAGAACTACTGTCACGTACGTCGCTCCAACACCACCCAAATCAAGCTTGAATTCAAAATTGAGACAGTATGGATAAATAAAAATATACTAATTGGGTGCTAGATTTAGACGGTATGGATGGATGGATAAATAAATATATATAATTTGGCTCGGAACTGAAGCCGTTTCCGTGCAAAAAGTCCAGAAAACTGTCCGTTGTATTGTACTCCAGGACGAATCGGAACACAAACAGGTTCCCATCGAACTGGCCGTGGCGTGCCGCGTGCGAACTGCGAACGAGGGCCAGCGTGTTCGAGCCCAACACACCAGGCCACGGCTGACCCGATTGGATCGCCTACGCGGCTACGCCCCACGCAACGCCACGACGCACCCCCGCGAAGCGAGCAGCGAAGCGAAGCAAGCCCCTGGAGGCGCCGGCGGCGGAAGCGGAGGCCGCGATGGGGAATAAGATCGCGCGGACGACGCAGGCGTCGGCGACGGAGTACTACCTCCACGACCTGCCGTCCACCTACAACCTCGTGCTCCTCGACGTCGTCAGCCGCGGCCGCTTCCTCAAGTCCGTCCGCTGCAAGCACGACGAGGGGGTGCTCCTCGTCAAGGTCTACTTCAAGCGCGCCGGCGAGCCAATCGACCTTAAGGTAACCCGCGTGCGGCTGGCGGCTGCTCGCAGGCGCGCCCCCAATCCCCTCGTGAGTTCCTTCGGATTTGGTCCCGGATCGTGGTAGTGAGATCCCGCCGCTGGTTTCGCAGGAGCACGAGCGGAGGCTGGAGCGGATTAGGAACGCGTTCAAGGGGATCGAGGGGTCTCACGTATGGCCCTTCCAGGTGAGGATTTCGTGCTTAGGGCTTATCGTCCCGATTCTGTTGAACTTTCGCCTGTAGGGCGGCTTCATAAAACGGGGGGCCATTGGAGACGCTTTTCAAATGCGCAAATGCATGTTAAGAGAAATTTTACTGGGGTTTAGCGGATTTTATCCCACATGTACTTTATCTATGTTTGCTTGTGTGTTTGCTTCAACTAAGTTTAAGCTACAAGGTTTTGCGTTGTTAGCAATAGGTTTCTTTTACTGCCTTCTGAAGTGGTGTAGTATTTTTGGGGCCTTTATTTGTTGTGGGTTACCTATTTTGATTAAGTCTTGATGAAAAGTTAGTTGTATAGCCACTTTATTTGGATGTTTTTGCACTAGCTGGCATGTGTCACTAAGATAGTATGAATCAATTAATGTATATTACATTTCAGCTCACGTGCTGAATTGGCTTCCAATGTTGTTCAGGTTTGGCTGCAAACAGATAAGGCAGCATATCTCCTGAGACAGTACTTCTTCAACAACTTGCACGATCGACTGAGTACACGCCCTTTCCTCAGTCAGATTGCAAAGAAATGGCTTGCCTTTCAGGTGACGTCTCTTTTCTTTGGTGTGCGTGTCTGTGTTAAATGGCTATCAATATTTTCAAAGGTGTAGAAGTTGATCCTGCTGGTGTCCATAGCCCATAGGGACATATATTCTCACTGCTAAGTGCAGTATAAATTTTACACTAGAATTAGTGGGGCATGTAAGAGTCATTCTTTATTTTTCTTTTCCTTTCCAGAGATGGTTGCCGACTCAGATCATTTGGTTGTGCAGTTAATTCATGCAGTGGAGCAGAGCCATAGTAAGGGAATTTGCCATGGTGAGAAGGGTTTGTCTGAGTCGCATTGGAAGAAAATTCTCTTGGCTGTTATTTTCACACTTTTTTTTTGTGTGTGTTTAGGTGACATAAAATGTGAGAATGTGCTCGTTACTTCTTGGAATTGGCTATATCTTGCGGACTTTGCATCATTCAAGCCAACATATATCCCGGATGACGATCCGTCCGATTTCTCATTCTATTTCGACACTGGAGGAAGACGAAGATGCTATCTAGCACCTGAAGTGAGCCCCTTAATCTAATTTACTTGAAATTTATATGCTATCTTTCGCTGTTCCTGTGGAAAATTGGAGGTGCCTCCAGGAAAGTTCCTAAACAGTCACTCTGGATAGTTTATCCCTGTTGCTTCATTTTTCCCCATTTGCTCCCTTTTTACAAATGCAGCTTGCTTCAGTACATGTATTTGCATCCTGTGTGTAATTGCAAGATGGTACGGGTTAAAACTATCACTGAGTGTGCGTGTTAAGACTTAAGACTGGTTACAATCAACGTCTCATTTAGTTACTTTTCTTCTGTCAACATTTGGATGATGTCGTTTTTGTGCGACTTGAAACATTGCATCCTGATACCTGCTATTGTTACCAAGGATGGAATAATTGCTATACTAGTGATTATTTTTTGTAGAAGGGATATACTCATTGTGATGCAATCTTGTCGATGTCTGTAATGTGAGTTGAGACCTTTAATGATACATCTTTGATCTAACACAACTGTTTCGTTGCTTTTCTATTTTGTGAATGAATCCAATTTACGCAGAGATTCTATGAACATGGTGGTGAGTCCCAAGTTGCAGCAGATGCACCTTTGCAACCATCTATGGATATATTTTCTCTTGGGTATGCTTCACATTCATGTTAATTTTTCTCCATGTTCTTCAAGAGCTAGTTTTGTTTCATGTGACAGTTATATGCTTTCCGTGTCAAATAGTTTGCCTATGATTATGTTTTTCTTGGGCATTCTAGTTTCATCTAATGGGCTGTAGTGCCATTTGTTCTTTGGTGGCAAGGGGGGACAGATTATTTTACGTTTAGATGAAAGATGATGATTATTGCAAGACAGTTCTCATAAGTTAGTGCACAAAGCTGTTGTTATACCAACAACATTGAACCCGCATTCTCCATCAACTATTCTTTTCTTGACCCTTGAGACAGGCTTCCACTGAAATACACAGCTTGACTTTTAACTTGGGGGCAGCTTGAAAATATTTTGGTTTTCCCTTCCCCGGACCCCACTCATGTGGGAGCCTCCGGCACTGGGTCTGCCCTTTCTTTTGGAGCCTCATGTTTATTCAAAAATATAGTACCATGTTAATTGTCACTTGCTTGCATATATTGGAACCAAATTCAATTAGAGATTTTGTAATAGTTACTTTTTCGTCCTCATTAACTTTGTTTTTGTCTACATTAAGTATTTTCACAAAATCACATCTCATGGTTTAGTTTCATGGACTGTATGTCAGCTCCAAAAGTAGATTAGTGGTTGCTACTTGCTAGAACTCTGGATTTTGAAACATGATTTTTTGTGAATTTCTCCTCCAGCCTCACATTTTTTAGCAGTACTCTATTAGGTTAGAATTCTGACAGCCATTTTCTTTTTAAAAAATGCTGACCATTGGACGGTATATTATGTATCTTCTTTCCAGGTGCGTTCTTGCTGAACTTTTCCTTGAAGGCCAGCCACTTTTTGAGCTTTCACAACTTCTGGCTTATCGGCGTGGTCAGTATGACCCCATACATACCCTAGAAAAGGTTTTTATGTTTTTCCTTTACTCTTCTTCAATAGTTTAATCCTTCGTTATGAATCATTGTAATGTTTCTATTCTTCTAACATGTAATCTTGGGTCGTATATCGTCTGTTATGACCGGCATCCCCTACAGCCGTCGCAGCCCAGCTAAGGGCTAGGAGGGAAGCCGGCCATCAAAGGGCTATGGCCCATATAATTGTCGCAATTATAGTATTGCTAGAGGGTTATTTTATAATTATCGCTATTAGAGAGACATATAAATATTTGTAAGACTCTATTTGTGAGATTAAGCAGAAACATATTATTGTTTCCGGCTTCCTCAGGGAGCCGGGAGAAACCCTAGCCGCCTCTACTGTTCACGCGTGAACAGTGCCGCCGCTACTGTAGCTGCGCGAAGGTTAGGGCTACAGCCGCAGCCGCCCATCCTCCACCACGGCGTCCAACCGCCGCCACGAGGTTCCACCGCTGCTCCACCTCCCTCTCACCCCTACAGACTCCGTGATCTCACGCGGTAGGATCCGTAATCCTATCAACTGGTATCGCCGTTGCTCGGTTCGATGACGGCGCTCCTCCGAAGTTCCTCCATCCCGGTGATTACTTCGCCGCCGCCGACCACGCTGCGTGCGTCGGAGTTGTCGGAGGCGCCCAACGCCTCGCCACCGACGTTGGAATCGCCGGGGCCAAGGTTGATCTCGATCGCCAACGCGGTGGTCTCCATGCTGACGGCGTGGGCGGCTCGCTCCAGCGCCTCCGCCGCTGCTTTCCCGCACCACCATCGCCTCCGCCGGCCGGTGCCACGACACCGATCCCCATCTGCGCCGGCGACTTCCTACCCCCTACGGCATGTTGCCGACGGGGGCCGGAGTTCCGCTCCATCTGTTGTAATGGCGGCCTCGCCGTCATTGCTGATTGGTTGCGATCGCCCGTGGTGGCGTCACGCTCCG